AGCCCTTTCAGCCTCCAGGCATGTCCCCACCTGCCTCACAGCCACCGACGCATCTCACGGCGGGGTTCTAATTGCGTGCGCGTATGGATGCTCCTATTCCTGCCGCCTTTCTAGCAACTAGTTAATGTTATGATGCATCGCTGGTCCGGCGTACGACGGCGCCTGGTGCGATTTATGCGTCCGGAAGCCCTTTCAGCCTCCAGGAATGTCCCCACCTGCCTCACAGCCACCGACGCATCTCACGGCGGGGTTCTAAATGCGTGCGCGTATGGATGCTCCTATTCCTGCCGCCTTTCTAGCAGCTAGTTACTGTTATGATGCATCGTTGGTCCGGCGTACGACGGCGCCTGGTGCGATTTATGCGTCCGGAAGCCCTTTCAGCCTCCCAGGCATGTCCCCACCTGCCTCACAGCCCCCGACGCATCTCACGGCGGGGGTCTAATTGCGTGCGCGTATGGATGCTCCTATTCCTGCAGCCTTTCTAGCAACTAGTTAATGTTATGATGCATCGTTGGTCCGGCGTACGACGGCGCCTGGTGCGATTTATGTGTCCGGAAGCCCTTTCAGCCTCCCAGGCATGTCCCACCTGCCTCACAGCCACCGACGCATCTCACGGCGGGGTTCTAATTGCGTGCGCGTATGGATGCTCCTTTCCCCGCCGCCTTTCTAACAATTAGAAATGTTATGATGTATCGTTGGTCCGGCGTACGACGGCGCCTGATGCGATTTATGCGTCCGGAAGCCCTTTCAGCCTCCAGGCATGTCCCCACCTGCCTCACAGCCGCCGACGCATCTCACGGCGGGGATTGCGTGCGCGTATGGATGCTTCTTTCCCCGCCGCCTTTCTAACAACTAGAAATGTTATGATGTATCGTTGGTCCGGCGTACGACGGCGCCTGATGCGATTTATGCGTCCGGAAGCCCTTTCAGCCTCCAGGCATGTCCCCACCTGCCTCACAGCCACCGACGCATCTCACGGCGGGGTTCTAATTGCGTGCGCGTATGGATGCTCCTATTCCTGCCGCCTTTCTAGCAGCTAGTAAATGTTATGATGCATCGTTGGTCCGGCGTACGACGGCGCCTGGTGCGATTTATGCGTTCGGAAGCCCTTTCAGCCTCCAGGCATGTCCCCACCTGCCTCACAGCCACCGACGCATCTCACGGCGGGGTTCTAATTGCGTGCGCGTATGGATGCTCCTATTCCTGCCGCCTTTCTAGCAGCTAGAAATGTTATGATGCATCGTTGGTCCGGCGTACGACGGCGCCTGGTGCGATTTATGCGTTCGGAAGCCCTTTCAGCCTCCAGGCATGTCCCCACCTGCCTCACAGCCACCGACGCATCTCACGGCGGGGTTCTAATTGCGTGCGCGTATGGATGCTCCTTTCCCCGCCGCCTTTCTAGCAACTAGTTAATGTTATGATTCATCGTTGGTTCGGCGTACGACGGCGCCTGGTGCGATTTATGCGTCCGGAAGCCCTTTCAGCCTCACAGGCATGTCCCCACCTGCCTCACAGCCGCCGACGCATCTCACGGCGGGGGTCTAATTGCGTGCGCGTTCGCATGCGGCATGTCCCGCCACGTTTCTGGCATCTAGTTGATGGTATGATGAATCGTTGTGCGGTGTAGGGCTGCACCTGATGCGATTTCGTTTGCGGAAGGGCCCCCTGAGTGCTGCCAAACATGTTATTCTCTCATGAGACTGCGTGAAGGTTAACGAACTGAGTATGCGACCAACACATAAAACATGGCATGCGAAATGTTATGTCATGCGATTCATCAAAGGTAAATCGTGTGTGCTTGTTGTGTGTTAGCTTAGGCCGCATTAAGCTTGACGCAACGAGCCTTCATACGCTTGAAACGCAACATTTGTTTGCATGCGAATTGCGTTGCGATATGTGTGCGTTTGGTAAGTGTTAGGCCGCGTTAAGCTTTACGCAATGAGCCTTTATACGCATGAAACGCAGCATGTATTAGCATGCGAAATGCGTTGCGAAATGTGTGCGTAAGGTGAGTGTTAGGCCGCGTTAAGCTTTACGCAATCAGCCTTCATACGCATGATACGCAACATGCATTCGCATGCAAATAGCCTTGCGGACTGTGTGCGTTTGATGTGCGAGTGGACGCGAATTGCTTTACGCATTGTCTCCCCACACGCACGAATCGCAATATGGAATCGCATGCGTATCGCCTTGCTACACATGCGCGTATGCTTCGCGTTTCAACATACGCACGGATAAATTGTTCAAGTCGACCAAAACGACACAAGTTTATTTCCAAATAAACCTTTACAATCTGAAAATTATAAATTTTTAAAAAAGTTGGCCAGAAGGGCCGATTTCCGCTTTTCCATAGCCGTTGTGCGTTAGCTCTTTGCGTTACAAAAGCCATGCTCTTTCGCACCTAACGCTAAGATT